TGATCAGAGAGTCCGGTTTTATCCCATGCTGTTTCAGTCACAGTCCAGCTGGCTTTGGTGAGCTCCCAATAGATCAGCCCCACTGTCTCAGTGGGTGGGTGCACCCCCCGTGGTCCTGACATCCTTGCTCGTGTTCTCCCTCCATCTGCTTCTCATTGGGACCTTGGGAGCTCAGTCCAGTGCTCCAGTACAATTTTTAAGGTGAAAAAACAAAGCAAGTAGGGCAATTGTAGATTAGAGAAGATGACATGTAAGAGATGCTATGTGTCCTAGAACTGCAAAGAACTAAACAAACAAATGTTATAAAATGCGTGTGTATATGTTTATGAAATGAAAATGATTATGTAACAGATCCATAAGGTGACCCATCTATTCAGCCCCATATTTCAAAGTGTGGCCTCCAACATACTGCAGTTGCTGCTGTAGAGTCAGGACGAGACTCCGGATCTCTAGCATGTAATTTCCAGTTGTCTAAGATACATACTTTCTTTCTTAATCCTTGCATTTTCACTTTTTCTTTTGGGACATTCTTTTTTCACTTAGACCACAGTGAATGCAATTTCTTTGAAATTCTGAGTTCTAACTGTGGAGTATGGACTTTGCAGGGGTGCAGGGTAGTCATTGGTTCCCTTTAGAATTGACCCAGAAGAAGAGGGAAGTTAGGCTGAATCTATTATTCATCCAAACATAGTATCTGAAATTTCAAAAAGGCCCAAATCCCTAATGCCATGGCTTCATATCACTTTTACTTTGATAAATAAACTTGGAACACTATCTATAGAGATAACAATTTGGCTATTTTGCTGTGGCTATTGTTATAGAGCATATAAGAAAACAGTGAGTTTTCTTAACAGTTTGGGTTTAGAAGAAACAGAGTGTGGGAAGTTAGATAGCTTCTGGGCACAAGGACACATTTTTATCGCACACTGGAGTACTAGGTCACTCTTACAAGAGAATTCAGTGTCTCCCCAGAGAAAATACTTGGGAGAAAATATGACCTATAAGTTTATTAAAACTGGAGAAAATAGATAACTATGGGCATATGTCATATACATATAACGTCATCTTTGCTAACTCATTGTTTTCCTCATGTGTAGTAACTATATATTTCTTTCCCATTTCTTTTCAAAGCTTCTTAGCTTTTTAACATGCCACAAATAAAATCTAGTCTGTCCAAGATTTCTAATAATAGCTCATGTTGGAAAATTACAAAAAAATCAGGAAATTGCATTCAGCTCAAAGAAGACAAGTTTAGAGTAAGTTACAAACACTGCTATGTGCCCCCAGGAAGTAAGTGCTTTGGGAAATCTAAAAACATCAGAATTCAGAGATGACAAAAAAAAATTTTGAGAAAAAAAATCCGGGAAAAGTAAGGAGTCTTCCTGGCAGCATTAACAGGCATAAGTGGAAAAACAGATATCCTAAAATAGATATTGTCCTTATACGTCATAGACATTTTTTTCTTACCATTTTTAGTAGCTTTGAGGAAGTAAAGTTCTATGAGCCTATATTAAAGCAAAATGTATTGCAGCATATGCGATAGGTTACTTGCGGGTAAAGGGTGAGGTACAGTAGTAGAAGGATGTAGGCCAGAAAACTTTATTTTGGTTGCCTCTGACAGTCCTTAGTTTATAGCAAGGACAATAACCAACTAATTGAAACTACTGGACTTTATTGTCTGTCCTACATCTGAAACATTTCAGGGGTCCTGGCACCATTCTACATGAAGAGCAGGGCAAACATAAGCCAGCCATAAAACTGACATTGACAATGTGCACGCAAAAGTATATCGTGCAGAAAAATAAAGAGGGCACAGCACATGTCAGTTACAGTTACACCAGCAGCCTCACACAACAAAGGACAAAACGGAGCCTTAAGAATTTTGAAAACCCTCTGTTTCACATACTCGACAGTTTTATTGGCCTAATATCACATACACTAGTGTCCCCCCAAAACAATATTAACGCTAACTATAAATCTTTAGCCTATCCTTGCCCAAGGTCCAGAAACCATCATTCTGGAGTCGAAACACCTATTTTAAATTCAGACATGCAGTCTTTATGACTTGAAGCAAATGTCACTTTGTTTCCTCGATGCTGTGCACGTGAAGATTCTTCCACAAGTCACTCCCAGGGTGTCCGAGGACGAAGCACGGAGAGGAGCCGGGCGCCTCTGGGAGGGGCGCCGGGTGGCCCCGCAGCCTGGGCTCCCGGAGTTCCGCCCACCAGCGGTTCCCCGGGGTTGGGTCCCCTTGCCAGGTGCCGCGGGCTGCGGGGCGGCTAGCTACGACGATTGCGTGGCTGAGCAGAAGATCCCGGCCTCCCCGGGGCTCCACAGCTCTCCCGAGCGGCTCCGGGCAGGGCTCGGGCGGCGGCGGCGGTCGCTCGGCGGCAGCACGGGCTCGCCCCGCGGCGATTTCTCGCGAGGTTTCAGCACCGCCCCTCCCGTCCCCCCGCACCCCCCCCCCTCCGCGCTCGGGCCCCGGCTCCCGCTATGGCTGCGCTCCGGAGGCTCCTGTGGCCGCCGCCTCGGCTGTCGCCGACTCTCGGCCCTCAGCAGCCCTTCCTGTCACCGTGGGGGCGGCCTGCAGGGACGGCTCCGGTGCTGTCGGGCCGGCCCTTCTCCTGCCGCGAGGACGACGACGAGGGGGCCGTGGCTGAGGCGGCTTGGCGGCGGCGGCGCTGGGGTGAGCTGAGCATCGCGGCGGCGGCGGGCGGGGGGCTGGTTGGCCTCGTGTGCTACCAGCTGTATGGGGACCCCAGAGCAGAGCCCTCGGAGTTAGCGGCCCCAGAACCCGAAGACCCGCCCCGGGCCAGGGGGCTGCTGCCCATCCCGGTGGCTGCTGCTAAGGAGACGGTAAGTGCCCGAGCGCGTGCGCGCCCCTGGCAGGTGACGGCGGAGAGTTGGGCTGCCAGGTGTCCGACCTGCGCAGGGAGGGCTTGGAGGGGCGGGGGTCACCGGGACACTGGACAGTGGAGGTGGTGGAGGCACTGAGGACGCTGACAGCGAGTGGGCAACCCTCAGTAAGCGACGCAGATCAACGCCAGGCGTCCCTGTTCGCAGGGATGCTGCGAAGATGTGGGAGATGCTGTCAGTGATGCATCAGGACCATAGAGGTTGCTGCAGCGACCGTCGAGCAACCAAATGCAAACCAGACCCTCCCTCACCACGCACGTGTCACACATAAAGGACTTGACAGGCATAAAAACAAAGACGTGATGGAGGGCCGCATGAATAAGAGGGCGAGACCGACTGAGCAAGGCAGGAAGGAGAGAATGAGAGGAGAAGCAAGTGCAGGATGAGTTTTGAAGGTGTCAGAACAGATCAAAATCTGCCGCATTAGTGTATGGGAATCCCATGAAAGATGCTGCCAAACTGGAAAAGAAAGGAAAAAATTATTCAATCCCTGAAGTAGTAGGTAAAACAAACCAGAAGATAGATAGGACGGGAATGATGGTAAACTGTGAATGGAGCCAGCTCCTGCAGAAGTGACACATGGAAATGTTGGGCTGTAATGTAGTTTGTGACATAAGGTAAGGCAAGGGTAAGGGGCCTGGTGTTGTTTTGTTTTGTCAGAGCTCTGAATTTAATTGTCATGTAAATGGCTTAGAAACTTGGTCTTGATTATACTTCTACTCCAGGACTAGAAGAATAGAAAACTAGATTAGGTGAAAATAATTTAGGAAAATGGCAGCTATGCCCCTTTAAACCTTACTAAAATTGTATAGTGTTTGTACTGTAAGTATACAATAGTGAGCAGATACAAGTACACAGCTTTTTTTTTTTTTGGTATGGTTTGGGTGAAGGTTGGCTGTGCATTTAGGTTAGGGAATATATGCTACACTATTCACCTTCGTTTAGTGATAAATCATAAACGCCCTATGTAAATTAATTTTATACAAAAAAACATAAAGTACTGGCAAACACACTCAACCTTGGATCCCCACAGAACAGATATGCTATTTTGTGGCTTAGGGGAACAGCATGACATTAGCATCTTGATTGACCATGCAAGAACTTTAATTGACTATAGTTGATCTGGAAATAGATTACCAAGGTAGGGAGCGTGCACATAGTTTTTTTCTTTCCTTCTTTTTAAAAATTGACTTTAGATTTACGAGACCTTATCACCTGACTGTGCTCAGAAAGCCAGACTTTGGCTTGGACACTGCTAGTTGTGCCATTATAGATGAAGTCTGTATGAGTCCATGCCAGCTCCTGTGTCTGTGAAAGAGACTAACAGGCTCAGAGGGTGCTCTGGGAGTTCAATAAGTTAATGTATTTGGAGCTGAATGGAACAGCGGGTGTGTAATAAGCAGCCAGTGGATTTATTTTGCCTTCATTCATATTTCATGGTTTTTGTTTGTTTTTATGTTACTGGTGGTCAATTCCAGGGCATCGTGCAAGCCACACAAGTGCTCTACCACTGAATAATCTCCTCAGCCCTTTATTATCTATATGTATTTGTTTACATTATTATTGCTTCCATTGTACACAATCCGTGTATTATGTAAGAAGTAAAATGATCCTGAAGCCCTGTGTCTTACCCTTCCCATAGTATCTGATTCAACATTATAGTTGTCACACCCTTTGCATGTGGTAGTTTTTCCTTCTGTAAAACATTTTATATTTTTTTGTTATTTGAATATTAAAATTTTCACCATAATGAGCTTTGACTTGAACACTTTTTTCATTGCTTGTGTTAGGTACTTAAAGGCCTTTCATTACAGAAATTCATGTTTAAATGTTTCTTGTAATGTAGCTGGGAGGTACACACATTTAATCCCAGCACTTGGGAAACAGAGGCAGGTGGATCTCTGTGAGTCTGCGGCCAGCCTGGTCTACAGAATGAGTGACAGGACAGGCTCCAAAGCTGCACAGTGAGACTGTCTCTTTAAAGCAAAACAAACAAAAAGATTATAGTAATGTTTCTTATATTATTTCTCTTCTTTTTCTTTTCTGGAACTACTATGGGTCTGAATTTAAGCCTGATATCCTAATTTAATTCTAATGCTAATTTAAATTAAAACCAAAAAGCATGCACAGAGCATTATAACCAGCCTTCAGCCTAGCTACACTAACTACAAAGATCATTCACATTTAGAAGACTAGGTTCGGCATACAACCTGAAGGAAGAAATATTTATTCTTTCGACTCCATCCAGATTTAGGGTTTGTATTAGTTACGTCTCTTTGTTGTTGTTGTTGTTGTTGGGGTTTTTTTTTTTTGTTTGTTTGTTTTTTGAGACTGGTTTTCTCTGTATCTTTGGAGCCTGTCCTGGAACTAGGTCTTGTAGACCAGGCTGGCCTCAAATTCACAGAGATCCTCCCTGCTTCTGCCTCCCAAGTGCTGGGATTAAAGGCGTGCACCACCACTGCCCTGCAAGAAAGCGAAATCTTATCTTGGTTCACAGTGTCAGAACAGCCCTTCTTGGTGGAGATGTCCTGGAAGCAGACATGTGAGGCGGCTAGTCACATTGCAGCCACAGTCAGGGGTGGAAAGATGCTTGCTCATGCTTAGATCACAATGTGATTTTTATTCAGTGCAGTGCATGGAATGATGTCATGCACAGTTTTTCTTTTTTCCATACCAATTATCCAGTCTAGATAAACTTCCTAGTAGACATGCTGAGAGGTTTGTTCCCTGGGTGAGTTTAGATCCTGTTGAGTTGACAACCAGCATTAGCCACCACGGGTTGGACTGTTTTAAGAACAATGTAGTTACCCTCTTAGAGACTTACTATATAATTTATCTTTAATAATTTTAAAGAAATGAATGATACTCCAAAGGTTAAAGAGGAGAAGTCTTTAAAGAAGTCATTAAAACAATTATACTAATCCTATACTTTGTTGCATTTATGAGTTCATGTGTGTCATATGGTATTTTGTCATATATACACACAAATATATATGTGATAACATGCATATATACATTTGAATATGAAATATCCTCAACAGCCTTGTTTGTGATCCCCAGCTGGAAGCATTATTTGGGAAGGTTATAGAATCTATAAAAGGTAGACCCTTGATAGAAGAAGTTATGTCTCTTGGATAGGTTTTGAATTCTATAACCTGGCCCTACTTCCTATTCTCCTTCTACTTCCTGTGAGAAAATGAAATGTGATCACCCTTCTTCCTGCCAGACTATCTTCTGCTACATCACATACAGTGATGGGTTGTAACCTCTCTAGAACCTTAAGCCCAATTAACCATTTTCTCCTTTAAGTTGCTTTTTGTCAGCGTATCCTATCATAGCAACAGAAAAGTAACTCATCCACATGCTTTGTAGAAAAATTAAGGTGAGCTACTTTACCATCTTTACCAAGTTTTCCTTTTTTCCTTCACCTTGAATTTATCAAGCTAAGACAAACATTTCAAGAAGAAACAATGTCCGATTCCTAACACCGGTTGAAGTTACAGCATTCTAAACCACTTCTTTGGAAAATTCAATTCACTTTTTCCCCAGCACCTAACAGACACCCAGCGCCAACATTGGGAAGCAAAGAGTGTGGAAATTTCATGCTGATGTATAAGTCAAGTCTTGCCCATGAGAGACAGCTAGTATTTGACTTGTTCTCATGCTTGCTGACCCTCGCCTCCAGATGTAGGGATCTTCAAAGGAATGTTTAAAAATAAAGTGTAGTAATTAGTGATGAACATGGAATGGTAGACTACATTATAACCCTGGATGTCTTATACATCTTATACAGAGGTATCTCAATGTTTTGAACCTGAATCCACAGTGTTTTCTAAGGTGTTTTCTGTCATGCTGTCTCATCTTCAGGGCTGTTGTTTATTTTGGAGTTTTTCTTCTTATTGAGGCATAATTTGTGAGAAGCCACATTGTTTGGATAAGACTTAGAACTATGTGTCTTCATTGGGGTTTTTATTGCTGTGAGGAAACACCATGAGCACATTAACTTTTATAAAGGAAAACATTTAATTGAGGTTAATTTAATTTAATTGACTCACAGTTCAGAGGTTCAGTCCGTTTTCACCATGTTGAGACATGGCAGTGTGCAGACAGACATGGTGCTGGAGAAGTCGCTGAGAATCCAACATCCTGCAGGCCACAGGAAGTAGACTGTCTCACCTGGTGTGGCTTGAGCATATATAAGACCTCAAAGACCTCCTCCACAGTGACACACTTCCTCTAACAAGACTACACCTACTCCAACAAGGCCAATGTACGTCCTAATAGTGCCACTCCCTTTGGGGGTCATTTTCTTTCAAGCCACCATACTGTATCTGGATGTTTTGCTCTAATCTTCCATAAAGAGCGGTTTTAGTTTTCAGAGTCACTTCTAAGTTTTGTGGGCCTTAATTTCAGAGACTATTTTGCATATGAATGTTAAAATTAAAGCCCCTTGCACATCACCCCATGAAAATTGACAGTGACTGTTGTTCATAATATACTGTTACTTTACTGATGCTAGAAACTGAACCCAGGCCACTGAGCAGACAAGTCATATGCTGTACTACGTACCTGTGAGGACTAATGAATAGACACTTAGGTTATAATAGCTTGAGCAAGTATAAACAGAATAATTATAGTTTTGTAATAGCGGGTACAAAATCTATACTTCTATTTCTACCACTCTAAGCATATAATAAAGTTTTTTGTTTATATGCATCCTTATGTATTTCTCAGCATTAGTGGTCAAGCAAATGCTTTTATGCTTTTCTTACTTTGAGATGTTGCGCATGTAAAATTATGTATTGAGACTTCTGACCACCTGGCTCATAATAACTATCAATTTAGTAATTGTGTCAGCAAGTGGCTCCTTTCATCTCTAATTAGTTACTTCTGCATCACTTTGATCATATAATCTGACATAAAATAAACTTAAGCTAGCA